GACTAAATATTTGGAAGTAGTTTGTCACTCCTTCTTCCTAGTCTGTCTTCATTTGAAACCTGTCTACCATAGGTGACCCTGCTGGTATTAAAAATACCCGTAGTATATCTACCAGAATCACAGCATCTCACAAGCCACCACAGTATGAAAAATTGACAGATAAGATCATCTGAATTTATATAGATCATCTGAAGAAGAGATTTGATACGTTAAACACTAAAGACTGAAGACCAGAAGAGTTGTTGGATGACATCAAGAACATCATACATGAGGAAATCAAAAAGTCATTAAGAAGACAAGAAAGAAGGTGGATTGAAGGAATTGGCAAAGAACAAATCTTTAAAGAAAGTGAGGCGGCACTAGAGGCACTCACTCATCTATGCCAAGAAATTTGAAAGACAACTATCTGGCCAACTGATTGGAAGAGATCCATATCTGTGCCCATTCCCAAAAGAGGTGACTCAACGTAATGCAGAAATCATCAGACACTATCTTTGATATCTCATGTGAGTAAAGTTTTATTAAAGATAATATAGAAATTCTGTAAGCGTACATTGACAGAAAACTTCCAGAGGTTCAAGCTGGATTCAGAAGAGGACCTGGAATGAAGAATATCATTGCTGGTATCTGATGTATCTTGACTAAAACAGAGAGCACCAGTAAGATGTTTACTTGTGCTTAATTAACTATGCAAAGGCCTTTGATTTTGTGGATCATGACAAGCTATGGACAACATTGCAAAGTATGAGTATTCCAGAGCACTTAATTGTGCTCATGAGGAACCTGTACATGGACCAAGAGGCAGTTGCTCAAACAGAACATGGAAACACTCAATGGTTTAAAATTAGGAATGGTGTATGACAGGGTTGTATTGTTTCGCCATACTAATTCAACCTGTATACTGAGCAAATAATCTGAGAATCTGCGTTATATGAAGAAAAACTTGGCATCAGGATTGAAGAAAGACTCAATAACAATCTGTGATATACAGATGATACAACCTTGCTTGCTGAAAGTGAAGAGGACTTAAAATACTTACTGATGAAGATCAAAGAGCACAGCCTTCAGTAAGGATTGCATCTCAATGTAAAGAAAACAAAAATCCTCACCACTGGACCAATAAACAAGTCAAGGACTTCATTCTTCTTGGATCAACCATCAACACTCATGGATGCAACAGTCAAGAAATCAAACGATGTATTGCATTAGGCAAATCTGTGCACAAGACCTTTTTAAAGTTTTGAAGAGCAAAGATGTCAGTTTGGAGCAAGACTAAGGTACACCTGACCCAAGCCATGGTACTTTCAATAACCTCGTATGCATGCAAGATCGTAGAAGAATTGATGCTTTTGAGTTATAGTGTTAGAGGAGAATATTGAAAGTTCCATGAGCTGCCGAAAGAACAAACAGATCTGTGTTGGAAGAAATACAGCTATAGTCCTCCTTGGAGGCCAGGATGGCCAAACTTCGTCTCTCATACTTGGACATATTGCTAGGAGGGACTAGTCACTGGAGAAGGATATCATGTTTGGTAAGGTGGACAGTCAGAGAAATAAGGAAGACGTCCAGCGAGATGGACTGGCAAAGTGGCAGCATCAATGTGCTCAAGTATAGCAATGATTCTGTTGTTGCAGGGACTGGTAGTGTTTCATCCTGTTATGCACAGGGTCACTGTGAGTTGGTACCAACTCGATGGCACCTAATAACAACAACAACATAACATATACATGTTATATAAAATGTATATGTGTGGCATTGTTAGATAAGCAATTGACTGCCGACTGCAAGTCTGTGGTTCAAATTCACCAGTCGATTCTCAGAAACTCAGGGTTGCTATGAGTCAGAACTGACTGAACACTTAACAACCTATCTGCACAGAAAGCACTGATGCTGTAGAATAAGTGCTGAACTGTTAAACATAAAGTCAACAGTTGAAACCCACTAGCCGCTCCCTCAGGACAAAGGTAAGACTTTCTGCTCCCATAAAAATTAATAGCTTCAAAAATCCATTATGAGTTGGAACTGACTTGAGGACATCTAACAAAAAATAAATAAATTATTTTATTTAATGGATTTGTTTAATAGAATTTCCTTGGTATTCTTAAATAATAAAACCCAAATTAAATCTATTGCCATCGAATTCATTCCAACTCGTTGTTGTTGTTGTTGTTGTTGTTGAGTGTCATCAAGTTAGTTCCAATTCATGGAAATTCTGTATAGGGTTACAAGGAGCGATTGGTGGGTTTGAGCCACTGATACTGTGGTTCAAACCAACATTATAGTGCAATGCTTTATCCTGCTGTGCCACACAAAGACGCCATATAGGGTTTGTTGCTGTTGTTAAGTACCATGAGTAGATTCTGACACATTGGAACCCTGTACAGGGTTTCTAAGGAGCAACTGTTGGTTTTGAATAGCTGATCTTATGGTTAACAGTCCAGTGATTATCTTACAATGCCATACCAATACAGTTTTGTTGTTGTGGTTAAGAACCATAGAGTCAGTTCTGACTCATAGCGACCCAGTATAGATACTGGGGAATCATGCAGGACTACACCAGTGTTTAGGAGACTGTAAATCTTTACTGGAGCAAAAACTTGCATCTTTCTCTAGAGGAGTGGCTAATGTGATTGAACCACCAACCTTGCAGTTAGCAGTTCAGGGCTTATCCTATAATGTTGTTATTGTTGTTGTTATGTGCCATGGAATCAGTTCCGACTCATAGTGACCCTGTACAGGGTTTCAGGCTGTAAATCTTTACGGGAGCAGAAAGCCTCATCTTTCTCCTGCAGAACAGCAGGTAGTTTTGAACTGCTGACCATGAGATTAGCAGCCCGATTCATAACCACTATGCTACCAGAGATCCCTTATCCTATAATAAGTGTCCATACATTTCAAGTGCAATTGTAGGAATAGATTTCTTCCTTCTATTTCCATATGGGTAATTTAAGCTCTGTTAAGAATTGAAAAAAAAAAAAAAAATGTTAAGCAGTCTAATAACAAGAAAGGAATAGTACTTGCATACAATATATAAGTTTCTAAATGTATGAGCATAAATCCTATTTCTTAATTATTATACCTGCTGACTTTTAAGTAAAATAACTTCTGATGTTGTAAAGTGTGCTAAAACAATAATTCTTTCAAAAATATTTACCTGTTATTCTTCCAAGTTGACCTTGAAATATCTTTCCAACAAATCCACTAATATGAGCCCCTAAGCTCATACCTATGAAGTGGAAAGTATCAAGAGATGCTCCATGCTTCTGCAACAGAAAATTCAGTGTTATGATTTTCATTTCAGCTTAGTAAAAATTATACATCATACACTAGTATTCTAAAATTCATGTTTTCTGGCTTAGTCAAGTTCTGGTAAGTATGGAAGGCTTTTAAAATATTAAAACAATTCTGAATCTGGAGTCACATTCTGGCAGTTCTCTGTCAATCTACTGTTGCAGCCATTTAAAAATTATCTTCAGCAAAAATTTACTTGTATATGATATTAAGGATATTGTTTGATGGGTTTCAGTATTTTGTTGGGTAACCTCTCTTTGGATTGTGCACAAATACCTTCCAATTGATTGCCTAGGTATTAGCTGTCTTCCAAGTTTCATAGCATGAATGAGTGTCTCCAGTGCTTCATCAGTTTCTTGAAAGACTTCAGTTTGCATTCCATCAATTCCTGGAGTTTTGTTTTTCACCAATGCTTTAAGTGCAGCCTGGATTTCTTCCTTCAGTAGCATTGGTTCTTGAGTGTATGCTACCTTGAATGGTTGAACATCAGTCATTAATTTTTGGTACTGTGACTCTGTGTATACTTTCCATCTTCTTTTGATGTTTTCTACATCATTCAATAATTTTCACATTGCTGTTGTTAGGTGCCATCAAGTTGATTCAGACCCATAGCGACCCTTGCACAAAAGAATGAAACACTGGTCCAGTGCCATCCTCACAAATGGTGTTATGCTTAAGTCTATTGATGCTGCCACTATGCTAATCAATCCAATTGGGGTCTTCCTCTTTCACTTACTCTCCACTTTACCAAGCATGATGTCCTATTCCAGGGAATGGTGTTTCCTGATAACAGGTCTGAAGTATGAGAGATGAAATCTTGCCATTCTGGCTTCTGAGGAGCATTCTGGCCATGCTTCCTCCATCACAGATTTATTTGTTCTTCTGGAAGTATACAGTACTTTTAATATTCTTTTCCAACACCATAACTCAAATGCATCAATTCTTCTATGGTCTTCCTTATTCATTATCCAACTTTCACATACACATGAAGCTATTGAAAATACTATGTATGGCTCATGTCAGTCACACCTTAGTTCTCAAACTGACAACTTGACTTTTGAACCCTTTAAAAGGTCTTATGTATCAGATTTGTCAAATGCAAAATGTCATTTCATTTTTTGACTGATGCTCCCATGAGTGTTGATAGTGGATCCAAGCAAAATGAAGTCTTTGACAACTTCAATATTTTCTCCATTTAACATGATGTTACTTATTGGTCCAGTTGTAAGGAATTTTGTTTTCTTTACATAGAGGAGCAACCCAGACTGAAGTTTGTTGTCTTTGATCTTCACCAGTAAATATTTTAAGTCCTGTTTGCTTTCACCAAGAAAGGTTGTGTCATCTGTATATTGCAGGTTGTCAATGAATCTTCCTCCAATCCTAATGCTACAGTTTTCTTTATGTAATCTAGGTTCTCAGATTATTTGTTCAGCATACATATTGAATAAATATGGTGAAAGAGTACAACCATGGTGCACACCTTTCCTGATTTTAAACCATTCATTGTCCCTCCGTTCTGTACAAACGACTGCCTCTTGTTCTATGTACAGTTTCCACATGAGCACAATGAAGTGTTCTTTAATATCCATCCTTCTCAATGTTATCAACAGTTTGACATGATTCACACAGTCAAAAAATTTTGCATAATTAGTTGAATTCAGGCATTCTCTAATATCAGCCAAGATCCATCAGACGTCTGCAATGATATACCTTGTTCTATTTCCTGGTCTGAATCTGGCTGGAACTTCTGGCAGTGCCAGTCAATGTATTGTTACAGCAGTTTTAAATTATCTTTTTCAAAAATTATTTCCATGTTATATTAGTGATATTGTCCAATGATTTCTGCATTCCATTGGGTTACCTCTCTGTGGAATGGGCACAAATACAGATCTCTTCCATTCAGTTGGGCAGGTAACTGTCTTTGAAAATTTCTTGGTTTAGATGAGTTAGTGCCTTTAGTGCTGCATTAGTTTTTAAAAGATTTCCATTTGTATTCACTCGATTCCCAGAGCCTTGTTCCTTGCCAATGCCTTCAGTGCACTTTGAACTTCCTTCCGTACCATTGGCTCTTGATCATGTGCTACATCTTGAAATGGTTGAACATTGACCATTTCTGTTTGACACAATGATTTAATGTATTCCCCCATCTTCTTTTAATGCATTTTGCATCATTCACTATTTCACCTACTGTTGTTGTTGTTAAGTGCCGTCGAGTCAGTTCTGACCCATAGGGTTTCCAGGGAGTGACTGGTGAGCTTGACCCACCAACCTTGTAGTTCAAATGGCTTTGCAGTGGCGCATTAACCCATGGTGCCACACAAGGACACACCTATAGAATCATTCAATATTGCAAATCGAGGTATGAAAATTTCTTCAGTTCCCTAAGCTTGAGAAATGCTGAGCGTGTTCTTCCCTTTAGGTTTTCTAACTCCAGGTCTTTGCACGTTTCATTATAGTCCTTGACTTTGTCTTATCAAGCTGCCCTTTGTAATTTTTTATTACTCTCTTTTACCTCATCATTTCTTCCATTTGCCTTGCATCTTTATGGTGGAGAACAAGCTTCAGAGTGTGTTCTAACATCCATTTTGGTCTTTTCCTTCTTTCTTGTATTCTTAAGGACTGTTTGCTTACTTCCTGTATGATGTTCTTAATGTCATCATACTGTCTTTGGTCATTACTGTCTAATGCATCATATCTATTCTTCAGGTGATCTGTAAATTCAGGTGGTATATGTTCAAGGTCATATTTTGACTCTCATAGACTTGTTCTAATTTTCTTCAGCTTTAGCCTGAACTTGCATATGAGCAATTGATGGTCTGTTCTACAGATTGCCCCTGGACTTGATTTACTTGATGATATGGAATTTTCCACCATCTCTTCCCACATATGCAGTCAATTTGATTCCTTTGTATTCCAGTTGGTGAAGTTCATATGTATAGTATCTTCTGTGTTGTTTTTAAAAAGGTATTCCTAATGAATAAATCATTCATCTTGCAAAATTCTGTCATTTGATCTTCAGTATTCTATCTGTTCCTAAGGCCATATTTTTCCACTACTGAACCTTCTCTTTGTTTCCAACCTTGGCATTCACAATTGCCAGTAATTTCAATACATCTTGCTTGCATGTTTGATAAATTTCCAACTGAAGAAATTGATATATATCTTAAATTTCATCATCACTGACTTTTATAGTTCATGCGTAAACTTTACTAATAATGGTGGTAACTCGTCTTCCTTGTTGTTGTTGTTGTTGTTGTTGTTAAATGCTGTGGAGTCAGTTCCAACCCATAGCTACCGTATATAGGATTTTCGAGGAGCATATGGTAAGCTTGAACCACCAACATTTCCAATCAAACTAATTTTTCAGGCCTGTGAATTAATCCACAATGCCAAAGGTGTATGGATATTAGCCTATGACAATCAGCATTATACTTCAAGATGCATCTTGAGATGTTGTTTTTGATGAAGAATTTGGTAGTATTCCTATTTAATTTATTATGTCATTCCTGGCATAGTAAACCATGTTGTTGTTGTTGTCGTTGTCAGGTGCCATCTCATTGGAACCAACTCATAGCTACCCCATGCACAGCAGAACAAAACAAT